ATTTGCTCCAATGCTCAGAGCAAAGAGAGCACTGTACATTCACTTCCCCACCTACAACTCGTGCCGGTACTGAGACTCGAACCTGCGACCTTTGGGTTACAAGTCAGACTCCGTAACCATTAGGCCACAACTGCCTGTCTTTAGTTTGTCAACATATCGTGCCCTTTCCTGCTTACTAATTCCTTCTCTATATGATTTAGCAGCTTCCACACTTTTTTTCCCATGGTTTAGACATCATAAATTAGTAGAACAATGTCTTCAGTAGTACATTAACCGTGCAATCCATTCTGTTGTTTACATCAGAGTATCTCCAATATGGCCGCGCATCCGGGTAACTGACCAAATCGTGAGATAGGTGCAAACGCACTATTGTCTTGAAAAAGGTGGGCGCTAACAAGTGGCTAAATATGACTACAAAGGTTTTGGGGGACATTAATTGTCATCAACACCGAACAGATAAACTCATCTACTCACTAGTCTGCTTCCACAGCCTCACTGTGTTTTTAATTGTGCTCTTGCAAGCTATTCTAACTCAAACTTTCAGGGAAATTTTTTCTTAAATAAAGAGTGAAAGAGTTGTCGGAAGCTTAATTCTAGTAACGTCTAAGTCATGCGACCATGGTGTAGTTTGTTTATAGCCTACATTTAGCTTATCTATATAGCTATAGCGAATGGATTTAAGCTTCAAAATTCATAAAAGTTGTGTTCATGTATGAAGATTACCATGATAGACGAAATGTATAAAGGTGCCGTCACATTTGCTGTTGCTCAGCAAAATTTTGCAAGTGAAATTCCAATTGTATTCAGTCATTCCAATGGGAATCCACACAATCAGGAGTTTAGAGTGAATGCGAAAAAATTCCCATTGCAGATTTTGTTCAAATTTCAAGTTGGTCACTTGAATTCACCACATTGACCAACAGAAAGCTGCTTGGTTTGAAAGTGAATTCTGTAATTTATATTTTGCTACGCTATTGACTTAAAACAACGGACCTCTTTTTGCCATCAAAATTACGCTAATATTGCTAATGTATCCACATCCTAAAAAGTCATGCATTTGTTGGTCACAGAGCTTATTTTCTGCAATAATCCAAAAGCCGATGGAAAAACCCTACTAGGTTTTTGTTGAGGGAACCAGGGTGATATGCTAACTTCTGGTTAGCCTACAAAATTACATCACTGAAGCATTCTATACATACGGGTGAGTAGCTCTCAGCAGGAAGACACGCCATATAGTTCTGATTTGAATGAATTTGACTGAAATAGAATGTGAGCATGAATCATGCATTCATCACGAACAGGGCCAAACATCTCATGTTCCTTATGTGGACAAATGTACAATGCATTTACACTTTTTTCCATCTAAAAGAATCCATCTATGCCCTTCCATAACCCCCTTTTACCCGCAAACACAGTCGGTCTGTAAAAATAATAGCCCTCTAAAAATGTGTTTCCAGCGCGGGGAACCGAAGCATTCTGAGGTAATCAAATAAAACTGCCCTCAAAGCTTTTAATAAAACATGGCTGTGTAGGGACATTCTTTTTTTAAGATTAATGGCAGAAAGGGGATTCTCTTTTTTTCCACTCGTTCCTTTTATTTCTCAATAATTCATTTGCGAAGGGACGAAACTAACAGTTTGTGTTTATGTGCGGTATTGGCTGAAAGAACCGTCGCTGAGAGGATGAGAAATCAGTCGGGCCACCACACATTTTCCAGCGGCCCTTAATTAGTGTCTGCGCTTAAAAGGCCTGACGGTTCCAATATCACAGCTACTTTTAATATCTCTGGCCCAGTCGCTCATGTGATTATCAGACAGGGGTTGGATAAGGATACAGTACTTTGGCCATTTTTTATAACATAGTTATTCTGTTTCATTTTATGTTTTTTTTTTTTAGAGGTTTCTACTCTGGAGAATTTAAATGAATAAAGCACTCCGTAAAATGGAAGCTGATTAATACGCTCATTGAAACATTAAAAGCCTTATTACCTTGTAAACCCACCTTGCAAACAGCTTTATTGGCTTAAGATATTACATTTTTACTTGTTTTGCTTATTTATTTAATTTTTGGGTGCACTAAGTATATTTAATGCACCGCTATAACCCAAAGCCATATTACAAGCACTTCTACAAAACACTACTTTACAGTACAGTCATTTTCCCCAGTCATGCACAGCTGAGCTTTCCCTTTTACCACAGTGATAACAATAAAAAGTCAACAAATGCTGGGGTCCAAAATAAACATGTAAATTCTTGCAAAATCATTGCATGATTTGTACACCGTTTAACTGGTATGAAGTGGTACGACCGTGGCCTTCATTGATTGCGGCAGGCATTAAAAGATTAAAAGGTTTTTCATCTGTCTGCGTTGTTGATGGCAGTCTCGAGTCATTAGCGCATTAGCATTAAGCCTACCCCATCAATAACAGCCCAGGTGAGTGATCCGGCTCCCCGAGAGAGTGATCCCGGGGCGGGGACAATGAAGCCAGCTTAGCCCTTGCTCTTCTGGAGTCCCTCATCAGCTTCGATAAGTCTGTCCAGGAAGATGAATCAGCTATAGTGGGAGAAATTAAGAGAGAGATGAAGTGAGGCAGAAGAGAGAGAAAGAGAATGAGAATAGGGACCTTCCTGTGTCAGAGCCGAGGTTAGGTGACATCTTTCAGATGAATGAGTGAAGATAATGTGAACTTAAAAAAAAAACACGTTACTATTAGACATTGAAATGTTTACCAGTGGAGCCTGCAGCTGTGCCTACCATGAGCTCATCGACTGACCTGAGAAAGATTTTGGAATAGTTCACCCAAACATACCATCCATGATGTAGATGAGTATGTTTCTTCATTGGAACTGATTTGGAGAAATTTAGCATTACATCACTTGTTCACCAAAGGATCCTTTGCAGTGAATGGGTGGCGTCTGAATGAGCGTCCAAACAGCTGGTAAAACATAACAATAATCCTTAAGTATTCCACATGACTCCAGTCTGTCAATTAATGTCTTGTGAAGCAATAAGCTGCGGGTTTTTAACAAATTATTGTGATGTTTTTATCAGCTGTTTGAACTCTCATTCTGATGGCACCCATTCACTACAGAGGATCCATTGGTGAACAAGTAAAGCAAAATTTCTCCAAATATGCCCCAATGATGAATCAAATGCCTTTACATCTTTTGTGGCCTAAGGGTGAGTAGATTTTCAGAAAATGTTCATTTTTGGGTGAACTATTCCTATAATTATACAATAATTATCCTTTTGAGTCAGTTCTTTCTTTTCACTAAACTGACCAAACAGGTTTGCAAAACGGTCTGAATTGATTTGCATTAATTTGGACTGCTCTCTCTCAGAATTATCTGAAGCGATTTTTCAGTCAGTTAATAATCAGTGCTGGATGAACTGGATATTCACCTACAATTAAAGCTACTTTTGGATAGGTAACTTTTAGAAAATGTAGCGGTCATGTAAATAAACAGCCATTTGCTTCAAGTGTTTTTGTGTCCACCTGCACTGTTGTCCTATATGAACATATCCAGATGGATGTCTGGGTGGATGACTTTCATTGCTTTTTGCTACATTCATGTCAGTCTTAAAAGGTTTAAAATGCATCTAGATACTCTTTCATTCTGCGGAGGTGTACTGTTGCTCTCATTGATCATGTGGTCTCAAATAGTCTCAAGTCTTTAAAAAAAGTGCAAAATATTTTATATATTATAGAAAATGAAAACATCTCTTTTAACATTAGCATATATTGAGTTAAACTTTATAATTTTTTGCAAAAATCCCCTCCGTATGTGTACCCTCAGATAAAATCCTGTAGGCACCCCTGGTGTTTACATGTCGACATCGGTTGTAGTCCCTTTGCGTTGCAGTGTAAGAGTGTGTGGTGTGTCTGTAGGTGAGTGTGATTTTACCAAGTACAACATGTTCCTGGATCAACATCCTTGTTGATCCTGGAACATCATTCCAATCAACCAATCAGAATTGAGAGATAACTTTTCAAGAAATGTCAGTTTTAGACTTACAATCAGGATCAGGTGCTTCTACACCCTTGTTAATCAGCTATCATTTCCCTCTGATTTTAGGAATAAATTATGGGTAAGGTTAGGTTTAGGGGAGGGGATTGGGCTAAGTCTGTATTTTTGGACAGTAATGTTGATCCAGGATCAACAAAAGATGTTGATCCAGGAACATGTCTTACTTGGCAAAATCACGGTGACCATGTCTGTATGAATGAGTTATGTCAGTGTGTCGATATGAGTGTAGTTGACACCCACCACATTGGCTCCAGAGCTTCCCACTGACGATCTCTTCGCAGTGCACGTCTATCACTGTGAGTGTTGCTGTCAGTCAGTGTCTCTGCTGTGAATGGCTTGCAGACATAGAAACACGTGTACTGTACTAGTGTATTCACTGGAGTCCTAACTGACCACAAGCACTTCACACTGGGTCTTTTAAATGTAACTAGATCATTAGGCCCACATAGAATCTGCACACTGATTGGAACAGGATTTTGGACCATTGAGATTTCACTGGGTAGGGCTACAAATTGTAACACTGCAAAATAAACATCAAGTGACTGGACACAGGTGGCTGACATACAATATTAAATTCAAATATAATTCCATTTAATTTGACCTAAAAAAAAAAAAACAATCACTCATTGTTGAGGGACACACAAATAGGCTAGAAGATACTTATAGGCAATTTTTCAGTAACAAGTCTGTCTTTTTGTAGTTTGATGGCTTGAATGAAGCCTTGACTACATATAGAAAAAAATCATAATAAAAGTTCCCTTTTCTAATCTTGTTTTTATTTACCAACCTATAAACTAGGGATGCACAATATTTTGATACTGATAAGCCAATAATTATTTTAATATTATGGTCAATAACTGATAAATTGCATTGGTAAAAATTGTTTTAAAATTGATACATTGATAAACTACTAGTTTATTTTATTAGTATAAAAATAAACTGTAAGTGAATGATAGAAGACAGCAAGGGTTATAAAAAATATATATACAGATATCAGCATGCACAAATAAAATACCAAAACTGATAAATTAAAAATCTCTAATCTGATGTGTGACCCTCTTTCAACAGAGATGTGACTATTTCACTCAAAAAGGCAGCTGAACTCTTTATTAAATTAACCCAAACTTTTAATTAATAAAAACAAGTTGCAGGGATACACAGAATTTGAGTAAAACATTCAAATTCTGTACAAATCTGCAATGCTTTCTGCAGAATTCGGTGGGAGCAGATTCAGTGCAGGTCTATATATCAGTTTAATCACATCCTGTATCTGTATTACAAGTACAATGTAACATGTGTCAGCACATAAGACCAATAGGTGGAAGACAGTGGATCTGAAGTGGATAAGTAGATCAGTTTATTGTCAATACCTGCAGGTCAGCCATTTATGGCGCTTTTCCACTGCATGGTACGGCACGGTACAGCTCGGTACGGTTCACTTTTGGGGGGTTTTCCACTGGGTACAGTACTGGTACCTGGTACTTTTTTTTTAGTACCACTTCGGTTGAGGTTCCAAGTGAACCGTACCGTTACCAAAACGTGACGTGTAAACTCTGCTGATCACGGATTGGCCGGAGAGAATCGTCACTACCTGCGTCACTGAACTTGTGACACAAACACAAAAGAAGCGCTAGATTTAAATCAGCACAGCCAGCGAAAACGCAAACCATGCCGAGCCGAACCGTGCCGTGCCGAGCCGTACCGAGCCAAGTCGTACCACACAGTGGAAAAGCGCCATTAGACTCTTCAGCCAACTGTCAGTGCCGGAGGGTGAAGTACTTTGGTTCTATAGCTCATCGTGAATTGCAGGGCCGTCAGTGTGATCCAGTGCACCTATCATGAGCAATGCCCCAGTGCTGTTGTCCCTGACTAGTATAATGAAGGAATGATCTGCATAGAAGATTTTTGGCTTCTCCACGTCCTCATCCTCATGCATACTGTCCTTGCTGCCAGACTCAGGGGCCAGCTCAAGGGACGTCCAATGCAGCACAGCTCCCAAGTGAAGCTTCCCCTGTCCCAGGCTTGATGCAGTGGAGAAATCAGCTGATGTCTCGTTCCAAGCATCTACCAGGCCTAATGCAGCTAGCTGTTTCTGAGTGAGAGTAAGGAGAGAAAAAACAGAAGGAGAGAAAAAGAGTGCAAGAAAACAGTGAGAATTTAATGTATTTTCATACAAAATGATTTCTGATTCAGAAGGCAGGTGAACACTAGACCCCAAAATCCTTCTCTGCTCCAAATGACTAAGATGGTGCGAATCAATTATGCAGACTACAATAAAAGAAAAAGCTCAAATATGAGCCAATAGAGACCTTGAAAAATTAAACATTCATGCCCTTTTATGACTCCCAATGGTGGAAATGAAAACACACACACACACACACACTCCTCCTCAGACAGGTAGAAAGGACAAATGAAAGCAAAACATAAAGAGTGTCACTGTAAATCAATAATGTTTCAAAAAATCGGTTGTTTCCCCTCTTCATTGTCTCCGCTTTATTTTAAAGGCATGACAGATGCCCTTGTTGGCGGTGCAGGCGGTACAAAGCATGCGACAGGAGCTGAAGACGGTGGCCGAGGGAGAGCTGCTTATGAATAATTTAAAAAAGCTCTCTCTGACCTCAGCCCGCTTTTGTTTTCCTTTCAGATATATGAATTTGGCAGAAAGATGCTCGCTGACAGGTAGTTTATATTCCCCCTGGATGAGAACCTGGATAAACGACAGTTACCCGCATAGAGAGAGAGAGAGACTGCGAGAGAGATGGCGAAATGAGGAAGAGGAGATAATAAGTGAACTGCTGTGGGAAGATTGAGAGACACCCAACGTGTTTGTGAAAGCCGAGACCGAATGGCAAGTGCTTTAACTGAATGATTAAGCACTCTCGCCTAAATGACTATTGTAATTAAAACGGAGCACATGCACACTCTATCTTGTTGCAAAAATTATGCATGCTCACTGGGAATGGCTGAGCTGGCGTGCTAGCTAGATTTGTGCAAAATTCAGAATTTAAGAATTGGCTCCAAATTAATGAATAAGTTGGAACTCTAATTGAATTGTCCTCACCTGACAGGAAGTTAAATTGGAATGTGCATTAGAATGACATGTATGCATTCTGGGAAATGAAGAGTTCTAAAAAACTTAAAACAAGGTTTTGTCAAATTTGCTTTTCTAGATAATAACGTAAAAGTTACAGTTGTATGAATTCATCGGAATTCCATTTTATTTTTAAATTCAAACTCGAATTCATCGGAATTCCATTTTATTTTTAAATTCAAACTCGAATTGCAATCAAAGACTGTATATACCAAGACGGTAAGTGCAGCCCTCACTTTCAGCAGAATAAGGGGGTGTTCAGACAGAACACGTTTTTGTATTCCACTGGTTCTGCTGGTTTTCCATTGTTTTTCCTGTGTAAATGAACGTCTTTGACTTTTGTACAGAGTCTCACACATGACATGGCATTCTAAAAGCACAGTGCGCAAGTTAAAATAAGTTTGACTTTTTAAAAACATCATGAGACCTTTTTTTCCCCCAATCCACCGGACCAACATGAAATATATGATTTTTTTTTACGCTATTTGAGCACAAGAAACTACATTTATCGGACAGTTCGTGTCAAGGTTTTATTTTTAATTTGAAAAATGTTATTTAAATGTGAGTTTGGCAATCAGTTTTTGAGATATCACTATTTTACCATTCAAGTAGATAGGAGTTGGTCTCACATGCCTAAAATAGCTGCCCGGAGGCATTGCAAATATGGTCACTGAGTGAACTGACTTTTCTTCAAAAGGGACTTTGAAGTAATTCTGCATCCTGTTTGCTACCTCAATTCAAATTCAGCAATTAAAAGGCATTCTCAATTCAATTCTGAATGGGTGCACAACCCTGGCGCTGGCATAGGCATAGTGATTTGAATCAGAGGTTTTTAAAGGAGAAAAAAGGTGGAAAACAAGAGAAAGATGGACAGAGAGTTTGATAATGAGGCAGAGAGGTGGGGGAGGCTGTCATCTGCACTAACACTGTTCAACCCTCTGCGGTTCTCTCTCTCTCTCTCAACAGTCTCAGCACACACCTGCACTAATGCACTTCTATTGTCCTCATCCATTATTCTCCTTCTCCTACATCTTTCCTCCATCACTTCATCACTGCCTCATCCTGTCGGCCGCTCAGCCACCTCTGTGGCATCCTCATCCCTCATCAGACCATCCGCCGCTTGTTTAATTCCTCTCTTGCCTGCTCTCATGTGCTCCCTGTCTTTTTCCTGCTCTGATCCGAATGTCCAGGCTTGTATCTAAGCATGTATTTATGCTTCGGAGAATGACGGTCTTTCCTCTCTGTCTCCTGAGGCTTTCTCACCCTCTCTCACGTCTGTATTTCCTCGCTATACGGGCTGACACCGCATTGGGCGAATTTATTTCTCCTTAATTAATTCTCTGTGTTGTCTCCGAGGGTTTTTCCGGCACTATAGACGCAGATCCACTCCTGGGCCGCATAGCCTTGACCCGAAGCAGCTTGTTGCCACGATGGTGACATGGTGCCGTGTGTTACTACGACAACGCTGTCTCCAGCAATTAAAGTCATATGCAACATTAGCAGACATCTCCCAGCCTGCATTGTGACAGGCTCTATAAATAGCACGCCTCTTTCTTTGTCTCGCTCCATCTCGCTCTTTCTCCTTGGGATGGCGACACCTCTCGGGATGTGCAGATTTGCTGAGGTCACTTCATTTTTTAAAAACAATCAGCGTTTAAATATTCAACGTGGGCTGTCATCATGCAAGCGTTCACCCTAGAAGCCCCCAGGGCCTGACGGACGAAAAATGCTCATTTCGCATATTCACTTAATCCAGATATCTAAGATGCCACACAGCTATTAGCTTTGAGTCATTTGAAGCTAGTGAAGCTTTGCACTTCACTTCTACAAAATCCAATGCAGCTCACAGGACGCCCCGAAGGAAAAACAGGTAAACCCTCCCTAGGTGCAGTGAGTCCCAAATGAATTAATGACACGTTTGTGGAGAGGAGACGTGCCCAGCAGGCAGTTGGGATTGAGTGATGGGTCTGCAGATGAGTACACTAGTTTCTGCACTGGAAACAAATGAAAGGAGGCTAATAAATATCATGTAGTAATATGGCACACAGACTCCCAACTAATGCAGTAAATGTGATGGGCAGATGGAGGAAAACGAGAGAGGGAGAGAGATGGAGCGAGGAGGAGGGCTGTGTAAACATGGTTCACCTCTAATGCTGCTCATTGGGTGGAAATGGAGCGTCTCTATTTTCTTCTCTTCTCACTCGGTCTTCCTGTCTGTTTCTTTCTCAAGCCAAAGTTTTCCAAATGCAGCCTATCCTTGCGCTCCATTTTTTAAGCAAACTCTGCATTATACTGTAGCATAATTCAGGCGCCTACATCAATAAACACAACTACAAAAACATACAGCTCATGAATAACGCACAAGAAGAAACTGCCCTAGAGTCAGCTGCATGTTGTATTTTCTATACAACATGATGGTGCTTGGGAATGTAAGGGGTGGAAATGGCCCACCAGCGGCACACGGAGCTTTCAGCAACTCCAGCAACTTATTCAGCCTCGCAGCATCACAGCAGTCTTTCAGAAAACATCTTGGGCATTATTCAGTGGCAGAGTTCTTTATCACTGTCTTATGTCTGATTTACATTTTCTGTCTCTCTCTTTTTCACTTTCTTCATGCACAATATTATAAATTTTTGTTTATCCTTTGCATCACACTCTGCTACAAAGAACTTCATGCCGTTTATCAGCCTCCTGAAATCACAAACTTGGTGAGAAGCATAAACCTGCTGGTTCAGAGCTGTTAACACATATGAAATGGATATATGAAATTGTAAAAATCATTTCATTCCAAATGATAAAGAAAACAGGCATAAACAGGGTTGGGAAAACAAGCACTGACCCTATAAATAAATTAATAAATTAATTCATGATAAGAAAAAAAAAAGATTTGAAGCAACTGGTTTCCAAAACATTAGATTTTTGTTATAAATAATATATAATATACTAAATACTCCATAATATACTAAATACCACTGAGGCTCAACTAAAATCCACAGCGTGATCAGTGCAAACCAATTTCCAAATGAATGATTCTTATGAGCAGGTTGTATAGTGAATTAAAAACACTTCTGAATCAATCGAAGCAGTTACAGAACCCTCCCCCAGGGGGAGCCTCCAACTTTAGATAAAAAAGCATAATGCCAGGGTGACACAGGGAGACAATTGGCCATCAGGAGTCTGCTAACAGAAATAGTTGTTACAAGAGAAATCACACAATTTTGTAAGGCAAGAATCATTTTACAGCACTAAATCATTCATTTCTATGGTTTACGCAAACAGCGACTTAAAGGGTTAGTGCATCCTAAAAAAAAATTAAATTCTGTCATTAATTATTCACTCTCATGTCCTTCTATACCCACAAGTCTTTTCATTCATCTTCAAATCACAAATAAAGATATTTTTATTAAACCTGAGAAATGCGTACTTTGATGTGCTCAATGTATGTGCCCTGATCAATGCTTATACGTATATAAAAGTCTAAATTAAATCTGTTCATCATATAAAGCTATCATGTTCCTTTAGAAGACTTGGATTAAACCACTTGATTCATATGGATGTATTTATTAACTTTTTTAAAGTGTCAAAGTTTTGATGTAACAGACTACCAATGGAGGGATAGAAATCCCTTATGTTTCATTCAAAATATTTTCATGTGTGTTTCATCAAATTTTTAATATCTTTGAAATGACATGAGAGTAACTGATCACAGAATTTTCATTTTTTTTAATCAAGTATGAATGATCAATTATGAATCAATGATGAATGATTCAGTGATTTCAAAATAGTTCATTATTTTGAATTAAAAAAAATAAATTAGCGCATAAGTTACCCTTTTTTGGTTTATTTTTATTTAATGCATAGTTAGGGCAAATTATTAGATTGCATTTATGACTTGTGTGCCTCATTAAAAAGTATTTTACAATAATTACCTTTATTTCTGATTCGTTATATCTGCTGTCGACAACTGAAATTATCTCATCATTTGGCAACAAACCGATGAG